CAGGGTCAGTAGTTGTGGCACACGGGCTTAGATGCTCTGCGGCATGTGGGATCTTCCCAGACCAGGGATTGAACCCATGTCCCCTGCATTGGCAGGCGGATTCTTAACCACTGTGCCACCAGGGAAGTCCTGGAATCTTCTCTTTTAAGGAAGGCCCTTAGGTGGAGTTTTTCTTTTTTTTTTAATTTTATTTATTTATTTTGTTTTTGCCTCCTTTGGGTCTTAGTTTCGGCATACGGGATCTTTCGTTACAGTGCGGGGTCTTCATTGGCGCATGGGCTTCTCTTTAGTTGTGGCGTGCAGGCTCCAGTGTGCATGGGCTCAGTAGTTTGTGGTGCACGGGCTTAGTTGCCCTGCGGCATGTAGGATCTTAGTTCCCCAACCTGGGATCGAACCCGCGTCCCCTGCATTGGAAGCCGGATTCTTAAACACTGGACCACGAGGGAAGTCCCGAGGTCGAGCTTTTAAAACAATTTTTCTCCATTTTGAACAGGATGCATGATTTAGCAAAAGGCTTCAACAAACACTTTTGTAGGAAGCACCTTCCAGTGCCTGCCCCCTGCCCCTCCTTCTCCCTCTCCCTGCTGCAGGCCTGGGCACCCAGAAATTCTTACATCAGTAAATTACATCAGTTAGTCTTACATCAGTAAGACTGAAGTCAAGTCTTATATCAGTAAAGTCTTTCTTACATCAGTAAAGTTCTTAAGAGTCCAGTGTTTAAGAGACATGCCAGGACATCCCTTCCAAAATAAAAGACAAACTACTTCATCTTCCATCCTTTACCACAAAGAAAGGATCACAGACCTGGGAGGCCTCTTCAGCTTGTGAAGGCAATACTTTCCACGCTAGGAATACTGCTCTGGCCCACATACTAGGTGACAAAAAAAACGTGCCAGCGCTGAGTGGGGCCTGGAGCAGGAAAGGAGTAGCCCCACAGTCTTAGCTCGTGCTGTTACAACAAAATGCCACATATCAGGTAGGTAAAAAACAACAAACATTTATTTCTCATGGTTCTGGAGGCTGGGAAGTACAGCATCTTGGTATTTGGTAAGGGCTTCCTGGTTCTTAGATGTTTGTCTTTTCACTGTGTCCTCACATGGCAGAAGCAGGGAGGGGTCTCTCTTGGACCTATTTAATAAGGACACTAATCCCATTCATGAGGGCTCTCTCTGAGGACCTAATCACCTCACAGAGGCTCCACCTCCTAACACCATCATATTGGGCATTAGGATTTCAACATATGAATTTTGGAGGGACACAAGCATTCAGACAATAGCACCTACTTACCATCATTCTCAGTGACCCACTGGGGACTTTGTGCTTCCTATTCCTGCAACTCTGGGCTCTGCAGGGTTTGAAGTTCTAATCCCCCAAAGGATATATTCTTTCCACAAGGGTAACACTGAGTTTCATGCAGTGGCTGCCACCTGGGCACTTTGGACTCCTTGTATACAGAGAGCAGCAGGCAAGAAATTACCATGTGGTCAAGGGTCATTGGCTCTGATCAGGGAAGAGGTAGACTTCCTTCAGTTACCCAGTTGGGGCAGGGAGGAATGTGCGCCGTGACCCACCTGGGCACCTCTTGGTACTCCCTTGCCTAGTTGTGACCATGAATGGACAAGTGTAGCAACCCTGACCTAAGAAGTTACCTCAGACCCTTCAGGAATCAGTGTTTGGGCTGCACCACTGGATAAGCCACTGAGACCAGTAGAGGTGAAGGCCGAGGGCAAAGGGGATTTAGAATGGAGGAAGGAAACAATGAGCACCAGTTGCAGCCCCGAGACCAACTGCAGCAATGGAGCTGTACATTATTCCACTAACCTCCCTCACCTGAGTTTCTCCTGAGAAGAGGTCCAGGGAACACTTACTCAATATGTATGGAGAAGTGAATCCATGTGACACAAGGTGTGGACTGTAGCAGCTGTGGAGGTGCCCCACTTGGATCCCCTTCAGAAAACTATTTCTGTTCACCTACCAGAATGCAGTGATCTCACAGCTTCCAGTTGCAACACCTTCAGGATTCACTATTATATTCCAGTTGAGACCATACTTTCCCCAGACAGCCCCCAGCCAATGAATGAGCCTGATGTGGGTACCAGGACTGGCCATTTCTGCTCGTCTAACTGGCTATCTTTTTCCCAGATCTCCGTGTTGGGCTGGCTGAGACCGTCAGAGCTGCATCATGACTTGGGGCTCTCCACGCCCAATCCTGCTTCCTCTCTCTTTATCTTTTACAGGTGTTACCCCCAATGAACTTCTTATATTGTTATCTTTGTCTCAGCAGCTGTTTCCCAAAAGACCCAAACCAACACACCCAGGCAGTAAAATAATATTAACCAGAAAAATGAAAACTACGTATATATGTAACACATACTATAATTACAAAGATTTTTTACGTTTACATAGATGAGACCTGGAAGAAGACATAGAAAAATAAAACTAGTTGATCTATTAGAGTAAAAGGATTGTGAATGAAAATTTTTTTCACCTGTCCTTTACTGTTAACATTGTTTATACATTACACAAAAATAAGGAGAAAATAAGGATATTGGTTCTGAATCTACCTTCTGCCTCTATGGGAAATTGACAACTGAGTTTTATTTTCCTTGTCTGTAATATAAGGATAATAATTGTGAAAATAAAATGAGATTAGGATTATGATCTCATTTTGCTATTGTACAACACTATGAAGTTGCAAAGTATTGTTTTTATTGTAGGCTGGGGTCTCAGATATAAGGAAGCTCGTCAATCAATAAATGTTTGTTGAGCATCTGCTATGCATCAGGTACCATTTGTATTAGTTTTCTATGGCTGCTGTAACAAATTAGTGCAAATTTAGTGGCTTAAAACAGCACAAATTTATCACCTTACAGTTCTGGAGATCAGAAATCCTAAAATCAGTTGTCACAGGGCTGCGTTCCTTCTAGAGGCTAGGAGAGACTCTATTCTCCTGTCTTTTCCAGCTTCTAGAAGCTGTCTACATTCCTTGGCTTGTGGCCCCTTCCTCCATCTTCAAAGCCAGCAGCACAACATCTTCCAATCTCTCTCCCACTTTCTGACTGCTGTTGCTGTTGTCATATCTCCTTCTCTGACACTGATCCTCCTTCCCTCTTATAAAGACCCTCATGATTACGTTGGGCCCACCTGGATAATCCAGGCTACTCTCCCCACTTTTAAGTCCCCATCCTTAACTTAATCAGATCTGCAAAGTCCCTTTTATGACATGAGGTAACATATTCAGGAGTTCCTAGAATTAGGAGGTGGCCGTTTGGGGGAAGCCATTATTCTACATTATTGTGGTAATAGAGTGATGAACACAGGAGGTGAGATCCCTGCTCCCATGGAGATTCTCTTCCAGTGTAGGAGAGACAGAAAATAAACAGGTAAATTAATTGATAAAATGCTAATAAGTGCTATGAAGTCAATTTTATTTATTTATTTTATTTGTTTATTTATTTTTGGCTGTGTTGGGTCTTCGTTGCTGTGTGTGGGCTTTCTCTAGTTGCGGCGAGCAGGGGCTTCTCTTGTTGCAGAGCACAGGCTCTAGGTGCATGGGCTTCAGTAGTTGCAGCATACGGGCTCAGTAGTTGCGGCACACGGGCCCTAGAGTATTGGGCTTCAGTAGTTATGGCGCGCAGGCTCAGTAGTTGTGGCGCAGGCTCTAGAGCACAGGCTCAGTAGTTGTGGCACACGGGTTTAGTTGCTCCGTGGCATGTGGGATGTTCCCAGACCAGGGATCGAACCCATGTCCCCTGCATTGGCAGGTGGATTCGTAACCACTGCACCACCAGGGAAGTCCCCTGAAGTCAGTTTTAAAAGGGCATCATGATGGTGACAAGGTTTGGAGAGTGGTCTGACCAAGAGAACTCCCTCTGAGGAACTGGCTTTGGAGCTAAAGCCTGAAGGATTATAAGGCAATTACTAGCACACTTGGCTCTGTTCCCCTTGGAGTCCTTTGGATATTTTTGGTGAATTTGGGGCCTGTTAGTTCAGGAAGTGTGTTGACTTTTACCATCCTCACTTATGAATGAGCTTTATTAAGCAGACCAGTTCCAACTCACAAAGTAAATATGGATTTGTGACCCCCCACCCCAGGGATTTTATTCTCTAGGCTTTCTGAATTTCAAGTCAAGATCAAGAACCAACCCTTTCTCTTGAAGATTAAGAACAGCACCCAGCACTGTTTCATGCATATTGTCTGGCATAAAAGCCCTAAGGCTGCAATGTGATGGCAGAGCCCAAAGTGGGAGTAATTTCAGTCCTTACCCAATTAAATTTCATTCCTTTGGAAATGATTTTCAAAACCTCTTCAGAAAAGTTTAAAGTAAACTGGCCTCAGCTAGGATTTGGTTCACCACTGAGTCCTGGGGGCAGGGAAACCAGGTCCCAGATCCCTCTATTCGGTAAGTTGTACTGGTGTCTCTCAAGTTCTGTAGTGTATCAGGAGGATGAAGAAATGGGACCCTTGGCACCAGCAGAATGGCAGAGCAACTGGCTTCCCTAGGAAAAAGCCATCTTTCTCTCCAGGCTGTGAAAGGGAGGGTTTTCTATAGATTGAAGGTTACAAAGAGACCATGGACTCAAGGAGAGCTAAATAAAGAATTATAAAAAGTTTATAAAAGGAACACAACATTCTCACCCCAGCTAACCAAAGACTTTTTCCTCTTCAGTTTTCACCCGAGGAGAGGGAGTAGCTAGTTTATCCTGAGATGTGGCTGGAAATCTTACAATGACCCTCTTTGTATCTCATCTCCCTGGGTTGACCTTTGTTTTCCCCCCAAATAATTATTTTATTTCAAAATAAATTTTTCTTTGATTGTAAAGATAAATTAGATAAATTTATATATGCAATTGAAAAAATTAAAAAAATATATATATATATAAACCTGTGTATATGTGTGTGTATGTGTGTGTGTATATATATATATATATATATATATTCCAAACTCTGTGATCAAAAAAAATTTACATTTAAGATTCTGTTTTCTGTCTTTGTGCAGTGAACTCGTGAATGGGGAAGATGGTGGCTTTGGGATCCGCCTGGCGGCAGTTGTGCAACCTTCCAAGAGGAAGGCGACCGCCTGCGCCATCTTTGCACAGCTGCCGGCATACAGGCCCCTGATTCTCGAAGGAGGGTCCGCAGCGCCTCAAAGGGGTTTAAGACGTTCACCAGTGTGTTATTTTTGAATAAAGCGTGAGAGCTTTGGAAGCCCAGCAGGGGCAGTGCCCCTTCACAGAGATTCAGGGATAGTCTGGTGGATGAAGGCCTAAAGTTTGGAATTTTCCTCTTGGAGAAGTGCTGTTGGGATAGCTGCGATGCCCAGGTAATGGTACCTGCCACTTCATCAACAAGCTGTGACAAGAAGTGGAGAGTGACAAGAAGTGGAGAGTAGCATGCCTTCTACCTGGGTACTGTGAATTTTGCTGACACAAAGGATGTTCTCTACCTGGTGTTGGACAGATCCTTGGAACTTCACGTCTTTCCTGTATTAACCCGCGTGAGCAGCTGTCAATCTCCTGGGGTGGAGGGAGGGGACTGCCTAGAAATTTGGGGACCAAAATCAATTAGGTGGCCTTTACTTCATCTTACCCAAAGGATTCCAATAAAATATTTTAAAGCAAATAAAAAGTAGATTGGTCTCAGTGAAAACAAGATGGTACAGAAAGGTTTAGGGACATGAAAGGTTAACCACCAGTGAATGAGCATCACAGTTGACGTCTAGCTGTACCTCTTTGCAGCCACATACAAAAAGTAGATTCGCCACATATTGACACCAATGTTAAGGATTTCTAAATTGATTGTGGTAGTATTCTTATATTTGAGGTTTTTATTATGCCATTAACACAGACATCCAATTTGCCTTTTGATCAATTGGTGAAAACATAGGTTGTCCAGATATATTTTAAAAGAATATACTGGTGGTTGCCAGGGGCAGGGAATGAGGAAATGAAGAGTTACTGTTTAATGGGTATAGTTTCCATTTTAGAAGATGAAAAGTGTTCACAGGGATGGATGGTGGTGACGGTTGCTCAATGTGATGAATGTGTTTGTTACCACTGAACCTTATGCTTAAAAGTGGTAAAGATGGGGGAGGGGATAAATTGGAAGATTAGGATTGACACATACCTGCTACTACATATAAAAAAGGTAACTAATAAGGAGCTATTGTATAGCACAGGGGATTCTACTGAATACTCTGTAATGGCCTATATGGGAAAAGAATTTAACAAAAAAGAGTGGATATATGTATAGCTGATTCACTTTGCTGTATACCTGAAACTAACACGACATTGTAAATCAACGATACCCCAATAAAAAAATTTTTTTAAATGGTAAAAAAAAAAAAGATTCTGTTTTCCTTTTTCTAAACAGCTTGATTGAGGTATAATTGACATACAGTGAACTGCACACACGTAAATATATAATTTGATAGTTTTGACACACACACACACACATATATATATGTATGTGTGTGTATATATATATATATATATATATATATACACATCTGTGAAATCCTCACCAAAATCAAGAGGGTGAGCATACCCATACACCAGAAATTGGGGGGAATGGGATGGGGTGGGGGTAGCTATGTTCTCTCTGGGTTTTAACCTCTTGTTATCAGCTCACAAGTTTGTGCTCTGAGTAATGAGACACGAATCATTCATAAAAAAATGTTTTCTATAAAAGTGGGCAGACAGAAAAACAACTTCCCACCCACTTGGCAGGTGATTTAGGTTCATTAACCTAAATCATGTCACTGCACTGTCAGCTCCATTTCTTCATTGTGTATGGGACTCGGCTGGAATGCAAGGGCTGGGAAAAGTGCCCAGCTGGTGTCCCAGGCCAGCTCTTGGCTGCCCTGCATGGGAGCAGGAGGGGATTTTTGCCCTCAGTTCCCTGCCAGACCCGCCTTCCTGCAGTCCACCTCCACTAGGTACCTTATTATTCAGCCTAGGGCGTCAGGCATGAGTTCCTTCTCCCCCTCTGGCTCCTCAGTTTTCCCTATGATCTCAGAGGAAGAGATATTTATTTATCCTTCATTCTAAAACCAGCCTCTCCTCTTAGTGTCTAGACTTAATAATTCCTGTTCCTCTCCACTATTCATCAATATTTATTGACTACCTACCAGGTACCAGACACTGTTCTAGGCTCCTGGAATATAACAGAAGTCGAAACAGACAGAAATCCCTGCCTTCATGAGCTTCATCCTAAGTGAAGCAGGGAAACTAAAAGCTAGAATCTTACTTCCACCAATCTCCCTTTCCTCTTTATCATCTTCAATAATTCCCTCCCTGAGTTACTTTCCTTATGCCCTGAAAATGTGTAAGAGAAACTTATCCTCATCCTTTTGCAACTTGAAGCTGCCCTCCGATTTCTTTCCTTTCTATTTACGACGTCTGAGTCAAGCAGTTTATCACACGAGGGTTCCAAGTCCTCTCGTCCCTCCTCTGCACGTGAGCTGAGAAACTGAAGACCTTGTCTCAGTCCTCCCTTTACTGAGTGGCTCTTCTTCCTCTGCTTCCTGGTTTTCCACACTCTTTTCTCCTTGGGTTCCTACACCACTGCTCTGTCCATGGTCTTCCATAGCTCCAGCCCCTCCCCTGCCTCCTTCATGGGAACTTCTTCCCCTGTTTCCTAACTGTGGACAAGGTTCTTTCCTCTGCCCCCTACTCTTCTCCCTCACTCTCATGCTTTCTACTGCCACCTCCAAAAGCAGACATCTATCCAAGCTCCATTTTAAACACTGACCTCTCATAAGTATATGAAATCTGTATTTCTAAATTTTTCCTGGACTTCTGCACTTGTGCAACTCACCTTTACTTAGGACACGTACAAACCAGGTGCACGAAGTTCCCCAGTACCCCAGCTCTGCTTCCCAACTTCCCTGCCTCTCCTGATCGTAGTCCTCATTCTCTCCAATATCAGGAGCACCTCCTTTCTTTTTTTCTTTTTTTTTTTTTTGCGGTACACGGGCCTCTCACTGTTGTGGCCTCTCCCGTTGCGGAGCACAGGCTCCGGACGCGCAGGCTCACATGTGGGATCCTCCCGGACCGGGGCACGAACCCGTGTCCCCTGCACTGCGCCACCAGGGAAGCCCGCACCTCCTTTCTTAGAATTGTACCAGAGACTAGCTACTAAGAAAACCAGCCAGCTACTCTGATTGAGGGGATAAACAAACAAACAAATAATTATATAACTAAACAAATAAGGCAAATTTATGGGACTATGTGGGGGTTAATCCCTACCTTTGGCAAAGAAGGTAGAAAACAGTCTTTGATTTCAGAGGAAGACTTAAGCATTGCTAGGTTGTCAGAGGTTAAGTCAGAGGGCACAGAAGGAATGCGCAGGGCACTGGAGTGAATGTAGGGGAAGTGGAGGGTGCCTGAGAGACTCAGAAAAGGGGGATTGGAAGCAGGAGGAGAGTGGGGATAAGGATCTAGAGTCAGCTATTTGCTGATTCTGTATCCTGGGCATGGCTAGTTCAGATAGGGTTTTGCTCCCGTTAGTGAATTGATGTGGAATGATAATGACAAAAAGCAGGAAACTCAATTGTCACAGTCAAGAGGAGGCTAAGAAGACATTACTAATAAATATTATATGGTATGCTGGAATAGAAAAAGGTTATGAGACTAAAAACTAAGGAAATCTGAAGAAAGTATGGACTTTAGTTAATAGTAATGTGTCAATATTGGCTCATTAATTGTGATAAATATACCATGTTAATGTAGTATTTTAATATATAGTAGGGAAAACTGGGTGTAGGGTATCTGAGAACGCTCTCTGCTTACTATCTTTGCAACTATTCTGTGAATCTAAAATTATTCCTAAATCATTTATTAAAAAATAAAAGCAGTAAACTCTAATGAATTCTTGATTTTGAAACTTTGGCTCCCTAAGCTCACAGGGAAGACCTATCACTGGGAGGATTCCTGCTGGAGGAGCCTGGTACGGACACTATTATTATTCCCCAAACCTAGAAACACTGGTGTTATCTTTGATGTCTTCCTCTCCCAGGCCCTTTATATCTAAGCTATCATGAAGTGATATTGATTTAAATTTTTTTTTTTTTTGGCCACACTGCACAGCTTGCAGGATCTTAGTTCCCCGACCAGGGATCGAACCCAGGCCCCTGCAGTGAAAGCGCCAAGTCCTAACCACTGGACCGCCAGGGAATTCCCTGATTGAAATTTAAAATACCTCTCATCTAGAAGTTTCAGTGTATAACATGAAAAGCTTTGTTCCTGTATTGGAAATAAAGCAATGCTGCAAATAAAATCAAAAGACTCATAAGTCAGGGATAATACTTATAATTCATATAATAAGCAAAGGGTTAATTTCTTTCATTTATATAAAGAAGTACTAAAGACAGCCTAATAGGAAAATGAACAAAGGATAGCAACAGGAAATTCAAAAACAGAGAAAAAATGATTAATAAATAAACATACAGAAAAAATGTTCAACTTCACACATGATTAAATACATGCAAATTAAAACAACTACAAAATACCTTTTTTGCTGATCAGACTGGCAAATTCTTTTTAAGTTTGGAAACTTATGGAATCGGCAAGCTGTATTTGAGAACAGGCATTCTCAAACTTTCTTGGTATGAGTGAAAATCAGCACAAACTTTTTAGAGAGCAACAAGGCAATAATGATCATTATTTGAAATACAAATATCCTTTGAGGTAGCAGCAATTCTACTGCTAGTATACTGTATGAATATAATTTGAAGATATGCCAAAGCGTTTGTGTATGTATAACAAGGATGGTCTTTTCAGTATAATTTCTAAAAATTCATAAAGTAATGTCCAGCAATAGGAGGCTTGAAAAATAAATCATGATACACCTATACTATGGATGTTAAAAGGAGGAAAGTAGACTTCTATATGTCAATATGAAAATGTCTCCAAAGATATAATACTGAGTTTTTAAAAAAGGAAAATATAAGAAAAAAGGAAGAGTATTTATAATATCTCATTTATGAAATAAAATATGCCTACACAAACATATACAGGACCAGATACATAATTCGTAGCCTAGTGCAAAATGAAAATGATGTGTGGTCCCTTGTTCAAAAGTTAAGAATTTCGAGGGGTGGGGGGAAGGTATGGCATTAACAGGTACATACTACTATATATAAAATAGATAAGCAACAAGGGTTTACTGTATAGCACAGGGAACTATATTTGATATCTTATAATAACCTATAATGGAAAATAATCTGAAAAAAACATATATATATATAACTGAATCACTTCACTGTACATCTGAAACTAACAATATTGTAAATCAACTATACTTCAATTTAAAAAAAAGTTAGGAATAATTCAGGACAGTAACAACAGCAGAGCATTAAACCAAGCTTGGGGCCCTTCTGAATGTTGTCTCTGTGTGACTGGACAGGTCACATGACCAAGAAGCTGGTCCTCTATGTATGGTTCATCCTCATGATTTACAGTTTCTATATTTGTCAATTTTGCCTACTTGCTAAAATTTATCTGTAACCCCCCAATCAGTAATCATAAGGCTTTCATGGTCATTCACAGATGTGTTCAGAGCAGCAAAAAATTTGAGTCATGGGATAGTGACGTTACCAACTGAGGTCCAACAGGGCAGCGCTCTACCTCCTTGTTTCAGCTCTCATCCGGTAAACAAGTGTCCTATTCATGGTCTGTTTAGTGCTCTGTTTTTTGCTTTTGTGTGGATGCTTTTTGTTGGTGATTTCGCTGTTTACAATGGCCCCCAACTGCAGTGCTGAAGTGCTTCCCAGGTGCAAGAAGGCTGGGATGTGCCCTACAGAGGAAAAGGGTGTTAGATAAGCTTCTTGCAGGCATGATTTAGAGTGCTGTTTGTCATGAGTTCAATGTTAATGAATCAACAATAGATATTAAATAAGGTGTCTTTAAACAGAAACACACACAAGGTTATGAATTTATCAGTTGAAAATGCTCTGATCAGAGGCTTGCAAGCACCTACCCTGTCTACTGTCTGGCATGCCTTCTCACTCCCCACCTCATCTGTAACCCTGACCATGCCAGTTTCTGCCTCCATATTTTTGCCTGGATCCGGGACACACCTCTGCATCTTCCCAAATCCTGTCCATTATTTGGCTTCACTATTTTAGTGACACCCTTCTTAATTTCTTTTC